TAGAGAGTACACCTCGGTGGCCCGCGAGCGCCATGGGGAGGACTTCGATCCGGCCACCCAACCCCTGGACACAGACCTCCTGATGAGGCTGGGAGGAGGGAAGCAGCACAGCCGGTACTGGATGGCGGACAACACAGTCGACTCTGCCTCTGTTCCCATCCTCGCCGAGATTCGAGCAAGGAGCACGAGCTCCTCCCTCCCCATACGCTCTCTGCAGCAGAGCTCACAGCAGCAGATGGCAGAACTCCAGGTTAGTACTGTTTTATTCGTCGTTCATTGCTTTTACACATCTACCTCGCCTTTGCATTGTTTAAACATTGCGGGTGGAATGTTGCAGGCCGACTTGCGGAGGTTGGAGGCCCAGCAGGCGGCCTAGGCGGAGGCCCATCGGCTGGAGATGGAGGATGTACAAGCCCAGAGGGTGGCTGAGGCGCAGAGCCTGCAGGACATGTTCAACTTCATGGCGAGCCTTTAGGCCTTGCCAGGTGTGGTCGTGCCCCAGTCGCTGCTCGCTCCAGTTGTGGCTCCTCCTCCTCCTGTAGGGACTCCGGTGAGTATATATGGTTGTTTATTCCTTTAGCTTGTGCGACCCTCCTATAGATACTCATGAATTCGCTTCTCCTTTGTGCAGCCACAGTTGGCGGGTTCGAACCCGACTCCTCAAGGTGGCCCTTCTCCATAGGCTGGGTGGCCAACTGGCCCTCCTCAATGTGGCAGTTCACACTCCGGGTGGGAAGGCTGGCAGTAGGTACCGTTTATTTGTTTCTTTTCATGTTGCATGGACTTGTGTTAGACTTAGCCTTATGTTGGACTACTACTAGAGACATATATATATTGTGATGGATATTGTCATGGATGATGCGAATGTATGTGATGGATTATGGACAATGGATTTGTATGTGATGTATTATGGATGGTGGATGTGTATATGATGGGTTATGGATGTGTATGTGATGGAATATGGATGTGTATGTGATATATCCTGTGATGTGTGTTGATATATATGTCATTTCTTTATTTGTGCTGATGGAAAGCAAAAAACAAAAAAATAGCATTTTCCCCTCTTTGCCGAGTGCCACACTCGGCAAAGAGGGCTTTGCCGAGTGCCGTGACCATGGCACTCGGCAAAGCTAGGAAGTAGAGACCCAATTTCCCAGCTTTGCCGAGTGCCAGAGCCATGGCACTCGGCAAAGATTTAAAAAAAAAATAAAAAATTCTTTGCCGAGTGCAAGAGTATGGCACTCGGCAAAGAATTTTCAAAAAAAAAGAAAAAATTCTTTACCGAGTGCCGCTGAGGTGGCACTCGGCAAAGAGGCCGTCAGAGTTGACGTCGGATTTTTTTGCCGAGTGCTGATGTGACACTCGGCAAAGGCTTTACCGAGTGCCCGATATGTGGCACTCGGCAAAGAAACCTTTGCCGACAGGTTCTTTGCCGACTGCTCTTTGCCGAGTGCGGCACTCGGCAAAGCCTTTGCCGAGTGCAATAGGGGCTTTGCCTAGTGCCCTAATCACTCGGCAAAGAGCCCGTCTGTAGTAGTGTTTGCACACACACCCGAACACACACACGCACAACACGCACACGCACACACGCGCGCAGCCACATGCACAGGCGCACACACGCACACGTCCACGCACCCCCACACATAGACACGCCGACACATGCACCCCACCACACACGCGCAGACACACAGACGCACCTGCACAACGCACACGCGTGCACACCCACACAACACATGTGCACGCACAAACACAAGACACAAACACACACAAGCACGCACACATGCCCACGCACAAACACAAACACAAACACAAACACAAACACAAACACACATGCAGACACATATTCTATGTACTTGCTTTATCACACAATGTACATAACTTGTAAAGCTCTACACAAAAACAATAGGATCATCGTATTTGCATGTTGTATAGTCGAATAAATTACTCAACTAGCTCTTATACAGATACAGCGCAATTAATTATATGCTAGCTAGCCGCGCCGAGTTCCTTGCTGATGCGATAGTTGCTGGCGCCGGCACCGATGGCGCCGGTAGGAGGATTAGGGGTGCCGCCTAGACCGTTGTGGTCGTGGATCTCCATCTCCAGCTGCTGGCGCTGGAGCTTTTGGTACGCCCTATCTCTCTTGGCGCGGGCCCTGTCTCGCTCTGACCGCACCGAAGAACACAATGAGCCTTGTGGCTTGGAGATGATCTCCTCCAGCAAGCCTGCGTAGGAGGAGATCTTTTCCTGCTCACTGTTGAGCTAGAGCTCAAGTTTACCAATCTTCGCGTCTAGAACCCTAATCTGCAAGCAGGCATCGAGAGAAAAAGTTATTATACTCCTCATATAAGTCATAATAGATCAACGGCGGACCACCTAATGCAATCGAAAAAGGGACAACAAACGTGAGCAAGCTCATACGTACTTCACGCACGATGTTGCGCTCGTACACAATCGTCGTCTTGAGTTCCTGAGCAGTCAATCTTCGTGTCTAGAACCCTAATCTGCAAGCAGGTGTCGAGAGAAAAAGTTATTATACTCCTCATAAGTCATAATAGATCAACAGCGGACCACCAAATGCAATCGAAAAAGGGACAACAAACGTGAGCAAGCTCGTACATACTTCACGCACGATGTTGCGCTCGTACACAATCGTCGTCTTGAGTTCCTGAGCAGTCCGGAGAAGGTTATTTTTCTAGGGTGGAGTGGTGGCCACGGCTGCTGCGGATAACCTTGCATTTTGAATGATGATCGATCTCTTGTCTTAGATGGCTATGCCTATACATGTTCATGAGACATATCAAGAAGAAACCTATTGAGTAATCAGAGGAACATTGCTAATTCGGCATTGTTGAATCCAAGAGCTCTCAAGGTGCGTCCTTCGCCTCCATGAATGGAATAGAATCTAACTGTACTCTAATGAAAATGTATTGGCATTAAATGATTTTCTCAACATTACACGCGTGCACACACATGCACAACCACACCCACACGCACACACGCCCTAATACACACACACAACACGCACACAGGCGTGCGCACATGCACAACCACACCAACATGCACACACGCCCGAACACACACGCACAACACGCAGATGCACACATGCGCGCACCCACATGCACAAGCGCACACACGCACACCTCCACGCACCCCCACACATAGACACACCAACACATGCACCCCACCACACACGCGCAGACACACAGATGTACCTGCACAACTAACATGCGTGCACACCCACACAACACATGTGCACGCACAGACACAAGACACAAACACACACAAGAACGCACGCACGCCAACGCACAAACACAAACACAAACACAAACACACATGCAGACACATATTCTATGTACTTGCTTTATCACACAATGTACATAACATGTAAACCTCTACACAAAAACAATAGGATCATCGTATTTGCATGTTGTATAGTCAAATAAATTACTCAACTAGCTCGCATACAGATACAGCGCAATTAATTCTATGCTAGCTAGCCACGCTGAGCTCCTTGCAGATGCGATAGTTGCTGGCGTCGGCACCGACGGCACCGGCAGGATGATTAGGGGCGCCGCCCTAACCGTTGTGGTCTTGGATCTCCATCTCCAGCTACTGGCACTGGAGCTTCTGGTACACCCTATCTCTCTTGGCGCGGGCCCTGTCTCGCTCTGCCCACACAGAAGAACACAGTGAGCCTTGTGGCTTGGAGATGATCTCCTCCAACAAGCCTGCGCAGGAGGAGATCTTTTCCTGCTCACTGTTGAGCTAGAGCTCGAGTTTACCAATCTTCGCATCTAGAACCCTAATCTGCAAGCAGGCATCGAGAGAAAAAGTTATTATACTCCTCATATAAGTCATAATAGATCAACGACGGACCACCTAATGCAATCGAAAAAGGGACAACATACATGAGGAAGCTCGTACATACTTCACGCACGATGTTGCACTCATACACAATCGTCGTCTTGAGTTCCTGAGCAGTCAATCTTCGCGTCTAGAACCCTAATCTGCAAGCAGGTATCGAGAGAAAAAGTTATTATACGCCTTATAAGTCATAATAGATCAACGGCGGACCACCCAATGCAATCGAAAAAGGGACAACAAACTTGAGCAAGCTTGTCGTACTTCACGCACGATGTTGCGCTCGTACACAATCGTCGTTTTGTGTTCCTGAACAGTCCGAAAAAGGTTATTTTTCTGGGGTGGAGCGGCGGCCATGGCTGCTGCGGATAACCTTGCATTTTGAACGACGATCGATCTCTTGTCTGAGATGGCTATGCCTATACATGTTCATGAGACATATCAGTAAGAAACCTATTGAGTGTCTGTAGGAACATTGCTAATTTGGCATTGTTGAATCCAAGAGCTCTCAATGTGCGTCCTTCGCCCACCATGAATGGAATAGAATCTAATAGTACCTACCGGAAATGTATTGGCATTAAATGATTTTCTCAACATTACACGCGTGCACACACACGCACAACCACACCCACAAGCACACACGCCCGAATATACACACACAACACGCACGCACGCATGCGCACACTCACAACCACACCAACATGCACACACGCCCGAACACACAGACACACACAACACGTAGACGCACACACGCGCGCACCCACATGCACAGGCGACACACGCACACATCCACGCACCCCCACACATAGACACGCCGACACATGCACCCCACCACACACATGCAGGCACACAGACACACCTGCACAACGCACACGCATGCACACCCACACAACACATGTGCACGCACAGACACAAGACACAAACACACACAAGAACGCACGCACGCCAACGCACAAACACAAACACAAACACAAACACACATGCAGACACATATTCTACGTACTTGCTTTATCACACAATGTACATAACATGTAAACCTCTGCACAAAAACAATAGGATCATCGTATTTGCATGTTGTATAGTCAAATAAATTACTCAACTAGCTCGCATACAGATACAGCGCAATTAATTCTATGCTAGCTAGCCACGCTGAGCTCCTTGCAGATGCGATAGTTGCTGGCGTCGGCACCGACGGCGCTAGCAGGATGATTAGGGGCGCCGCCCTGATCATTGTGGTCTTGGATCTCCATCTCCAGCTGCTGGCACTGGAGCTTCTGGTACGCCCTATCTCTCTTGGCGCGGGCCCTGTCTCGCTCTGCCCACACAGAAGAACACAGTGAGCCTTGTGGCTTGGAGATGATCTCCTCCAACAAGCCTGCACAGGAGGAGATCTTTTCCTGCTCACTGTTGAGCTAGAGCTCGAGTTTACCAATCTTCGCATCTAGAACCCTAATATGCAAGCAGGCATCGAGAGAAAAAGTTATTATACTCCTCATATAAGTCATAATAGATCAACGACGGACCACCTAATGCAATCGAAAAAGGGACAACATACATGAGGAAGCTCGTACATACTTCACGCACGATGTTGCACTCATACACAATCGTCGTCTTGAGTTCCTGAGCAGTCAATCGTCGCGTCTAGAACCCTAATCTGCAAGCAGGTATCGAGAGAAAAAGTTATTATACGCCTTATAAGTCATAATAGATCAACGGCGGACCACCCAATGCAATCGAAAAAGGGACAACAAACTTGAGCAAGCTTGTCGTACTTCACGCACGATGTTGCGCTCGTACACAATCGTCGTTTTGTGTTCCTGAACAGTCCGAAAAAGGTTATTTTTCTGGGGTGGAGCGGCGGCCATGGCTGCTGCGGATAACCTTGCATTTTGAACGACGATCGATCTCTTGTCTGAGATGGCTATGCCTATACATGTTCATGAGACATATCAGTAAGAAACCTATTGAGTGTCTGTAGGAACATTGCTAATTTGGCATTGTTGAATCCAAGAGCTCTCAATGTGCGTCCTTCGCCCACCATGAATGGAATAGAATCTAATAGTACCTACCGGAAATGTATTGGCATTAAATGATTTTCTCAACATTACACGCGTGCACACACACGCACAACCACACCCACAAGCACACACGCCTGAATATACACACACACACGCACGCACGCACGCGCGCACACTCACAACCACACCAACATGCACACACGCCCGAACACACAGACACACACAACACGTAGACGCACACACGCGCGCACCCACATGCACAGGCGACACACGCACACATCCACGCACCCCCACACATAGACACGCCGACACATGCACCCCACACACACACATGCAGGCACACACACACACTGCACAACGCACACGCATGCACACCCACACAACACATGTGCACGCATGCACACAAGACACAAACACACACAAGAACGCATACGCCAACGCACAAACACAAACACAAACACAAACACACATGGACACATATTCTATGTACTTGCTTTATCACACAATGTACATAACATGTAAACCTCTGCACAAAAACAATAGGATCATCAGATTTGCATGTTGTATAGTCAAATAAATTACTCAACTAGCTCGCATACAGATATCTGGCAAGCAATTAATTCTATGCTAGCTAGCCACGCTGAGCTCCTTGCGAGATGCGATAGTTCTTTGGCGTCGGCAAGACCGGCGGCGCCAGGAGATGATTAGGGCGCGCACGATCGTTGTGGTCTTGGATCTCCATCTCCAGCCGCTGCACTGGAGCTTCTGCACGCCCTATCTCTCTTGGCGCGGGCCTGTCTCACTCTGCCCACACAGAAGAACACAGTGAGCCTTGTGGCTTGGAGATGATCTCCTCCAGCAAGCCTGCGCAGGAGGAGATCTTTTCCTGCTCACTGTTGAGCTGGAGCTCGAGTTTACCAATCTTCGCGTCTAGAACCCTAATCTGCAAGCAGGCATCGAGAGAAAAAGTTATTATACTCATATAAGTCATAATAGATCAACGGCGGACCACCTAATGCAATCAAAAAAGGGACAACAAATGTGAGCAAGCTCGTACGTACTTCACGCACGATGTTGCGCTCGTACACAATCGTCGTCTTGAGTTCCTGAGCAGTCAATCTTCGCGTCTAGAACCCTAATCTGCAAGTAGGCGTCGAGAGAAAAAATTATTATACTCCTCATAAGTCATAATAGATCAACAGCGGACCACCAAATGCAATCAAAAAAGGGACAACAAACATGAGCAAGCTCATACGTACTTCACGCATGATGTTGCGCTCGTACATAATCGTCGTCTTGAGTTCCTGAGTAGTCCGAAGAAGGTTATTTTTCTGGGGTGGAGCAGCGGCCATGGCTGCTGCGGATAACCTTGCATTTTGAACGACGATCAATCTCTTGTCTTAGATGGCTATGCCTATACATGTTCATGAGACATATCCATAAGAAACCTATTGAGTGTCTATAGGAACATTGCTAATTCGACATTGTTGAATCCAAGAGCTCTCAAGGTGCGTCCTTCACCCTCATGAATGGAATAGAATCTAACAGTACCTAATGAAAATGTATTGGCATTAAATGATTTTCTCAACATTACACGAGTGCACACACATGCACAACCACATCCACATGCACACATGCTTGAATACACACACACAACACGCACAACCACACCAACATGCACACACGCCCAAACACACACACGCACAACATGCCGACGCACACACGTGCGCACCCACATGCACTGGCGCACACACTTACACATCCACGCAACCCAGACATAGACACGCCAACACATGCACCCCACCACACACGCGCAGACACACAGACACACCTGCACAACGCACATGTGTGCACACCCACACAACACATGTGCACGCACAGATACAAGACACAAACACACAAAAGCACGCACGCACGCCCACGCACAAACACAAACACAAACACAAACATAAACACACATGAAGACACATATTCTATGTACTTGCTTTATCACACAATGTACATAACTTGTAAAGCTCTACACAAAAACAATAGGATCATCGTATTTGCATGTTGTATAGTCGAATAAATTACTCAGCTAGCTCTTATACAGATACATCGCAATTAATTATATGCTAGCTAGCCGCGCCGAGTTCCTTGCTGATGCGATAGTTGCTGGCGCCGGCACCGATGGCACCGGTAGGAGGATTAGGGGCGCCGCCTAGACCGTTGTGGTCGTGGATCTCCATCTCCATTTCTTTGGCGCCTGGAGCTTTTGGTACGCCCTATCTCTCTTGGGCTGGGCCTCGTCTCGCTCGACCGCACGAAGAACACAATGAGCCTTGTGGCTTGGAGATGATCTCCTCCAGCAAGCCTGCGTAGGAGGAGATCTTTTCCTGCTCACTGTTGAGCTAGAGCTCAAGTTTACCAATCTTCGCGTCTAGAACCCTAATCTGCAAGCAGGCATCGAGAGAAAAAGTTATTATACTCCTCATATAAGTCATAATAGATCAACGGCGGACCACCTAATGCAATCGAAAAAGGGACAACAAACGTGAGCAAGCTCATACGTACTTCACGCACGATGTTGCGCTCGTACACAATCGTCGTCTTGAGTTCCTGAGCAGTCAATCTTCGTGTCTAGAACCCTAATCTACAAGCAGGTGTCGAGAGAAAAAGTTATTATACTCCTCATAAGTCATAATAGATCAACAGCGGACCACCAAATGTAATCGAAAAAGGGACAACAAACGTGAGCAAGCTCGTACATACTTCACGCACGATGTTGCGCTCGTACACAATCGTCGTCTTGAGTTCCTGAGCAGTCCGGAGAAGGTTATTTTTCTAGGGTGGAGTGGTGGCCACGGCTGCTGCGGATAACCTTGCATTTTGAATGATGATCGATCTCTTGTCTTAGATGGCTATGCCTATACATGTTCATGAGACATATCAGTAAGAAACCTATTGAGTGTCTGTAGGAACATTGCTAATTCGGCATTGTTGAATCCAAGAGCTCTCAAGGTGCGTCCTTCGCCCTCCATGAATGGAATAGAATCTAACTGTACCTAATGAAAATGTATTGGCATTAAATGATTTTCTCAACATTACACGCGTGCACACACATGCACAACCACACCCACACGCACACACGCCCTAATACACACACACAACACGCACACAGGCGTGCGCACATGCACAACCACACCAACATGCACACACGCCCGAACACACACGCACAACACGCAGATGCACACATGCGCGCACCCACATGCACAAGCGCACACACGCACACCTCCACGCACCCCCACACATAGACACACCAACACATGCACCCCACCACACACGCGCAGACACACAGATGTACCTGCACAACTAACATGCGTGCACACCCACACAACACATGTGCACGCACAGACACAAGACACAAACACACACAAGCACGCATGCACACCCACACACAAACACAAACACAAACACAAACACACATGAAGACACATATTCTATGTACTTGCTTTATCACACAATGTACATAACATGTAAACCTCTACACAAAAACAATAGGATCATCGTATTTGCATGTTGTATAGTTGAATAAATTACTCAACTAGCTCGCCTACAGATACAGCGCAATTAATTCTATGCTAGATAGCCGTGCCAAGCTCCTTGTCGATCGCGATAGTTCTTTGGCGCCGGTAGGAGGATTAGGCGCCGCCTCGACCGTTGTGGTCGTGGATCTCCATCTCCATCTCTTTGGGCTGGCGCTGGAGCCTCGTGCACGCCCTATCTCTCTTGGTGCGGGCCTGTCTCGCTCTACCCGCACCGAAGAACACAAAGTGAGCCTTGTGGCTTGGAGATGATCTCCTCCAAAGAAGCTCTGAGGAGGAGATCTTTTGCTCACTGTTGAGCCGGAGCTTGAGTTTACCAATCTTCGCGTCTAGAACCCTAATCTGCAAGCGTGCACCGAGAGAAAAAGTTATTATACTCCTCATATAAGTCATAATAGATCAACGGCGGACCACCTAATGCAATCGAAAAGGGACAACAAACATGAGCAAGCTCATACGTATTTCACGCATGATGTTGCGCTCAGACACAATCGTGCCCTCGAGTTCTGGCGATCAATCTTCGCGTCTAGAACCCTAATGTGCAAGCGGTGTCGAGAGAAAAGTTATTATACTCCTCATAAGTCATAATAGATCAATAGCGGACCACCAAATGCAATCAAAAAGGGACAACAAGCGTGAGCAAGCCCAGACGCATTTCACGCACGATGTTGCGCCAGACACAATCGTCGTCGTCTTGAGTTCTGAAGGTCAATCTTCACATCTAGAACCCTAATCTGCAAGCGGTGTTGAGACAAAAAGTTATTGTACTCCTCATAAGTCATAATAGATCAACAACGGACCACCAAATGCAATCAAAAAAGGGACAACAAATGTGAGCAAGCTCGTACGTACTTCACGCACGATGGTGCGCTCGTACACAATCGTCGTCTTGAGTTCCTGAGCAGTCCAAAGAGGTTATTTTTCTAGGGTGGAGCGGTGGCCATGACTGCTGTGGATAACCTTGCATTTTGAACGACGATCGATCTGTTGTCTTAGATGGCTATGCCTATACATGGTCATGAGACATATCAGTAAGAAACCTATTGAGTGTCTGTAGGAACATTGCTAATTCAGCATTGTTGAATCCAAGAGCTCTCAAGGTGCGTCCTTCGCCCTCCATGAATGGAATAGAATCTAACTGTACCTAATGAAAATGTATTGGCATTAAATGATTTTCTCAACATTACATGCGTGCACACACACGCACAACCACGCCCACACGCACACACGCCCGAATACACACACACAACACGCACACATGCGTGCGCACACGCACAACCACACCAACATGCACACACGCCCGAACACACACGCACAACACGCAGACGCACACACACGCGCACCCACATGCACAGGCGCACACACGTACACATCCACGCACCCCCACACATAGACACGTCGACACATGCACCCCACCACACACGCGCAGACACACAGATGCACCTGCACAACGCACATGCGTGCACACCCACACAACACATGTGCACGCACAGACACAAGACACAAACAGACACAAGCACGCACGCACGCCCACACACAAAGACAAACACAAACACAAACACAAACACAAACACAAACACAAACACAAACACAAACACAAACACAAACACACATGAAGACACATATTCTATGTACTTGCTTTATCACATAATGTACATAACATGTAAACCTCTACACAAAAACAATAGGATCATCGTATTTGCATGTTGTATAGCTGAATAAATTACTCAACTAGCTCGCCTACAGATATGGCGCAATTAATTCTATGCTAGCTAGTCACGCCAAGCTCCTTCCTGATGCGATAGTTGCTGGCGCCGGCAGGAGGATTAGGGGCGCCGCCCTGACCATTGTGGTCATGGATCTCCATCTCCAACTCCTGGCGCTGGAGCCTCTGGTACGCCCTATCTCTCTTGGCGCAGGCCCTGTCTCGCTCTGCCCACCCAGAAGAACACAGTGAGCCTTGTGGCTTCGAGATGATCTCCTCCAGCAAGCCTGCGTAGGAGGAGAATCTTTTCCTGCTCACTGTTGAGCTGGAGCTCGATTTTACCAATCTTCGCGTCTAGAACCCTAATCTGCAAGCAGGCATCGAGAGAAAAAGTTATTATACTCCTCATATAAGTCATAATAGATCAACGGCGGACCACCTAATGCAATCAAAAAAGGGACAACATACATGAGGAAGCTCGTACATACTTCACGCACGATGTTGCACTCGTACACAATCGTCGTCTTGAGTTCCTGAGCAGTTAATCTTCGCGTCTAGAACCCTAATCTGCAAGCAGGTATCGAGAGAAAAAGTTATTATACGCCTTATAAGTCATAATAGATCAACGGCGGACCACCTAATGCAATCGAAAAAGGGACAACAAACATGAGCAAGCTTGTACGTACTTCACGCACGATGTTGCGCTTGTACACAATCGTCGTTTTGTGTTCCTGAACAGTCCGAAGAAGGTTATTTTTCTGGGGTGGAGCGGCGGCCATGGCTGCTGCGGATAACCTTGCATTTTGAACGACGATCGATCTCTTGTCTAAGATGGCTATGCCTATACATGTTCATGAGACATATCAGTAAGAAACCTATTGAGTGTCTGTAGGAACATTGCTAATTTGGCATTGTTGAATCCAAGAGCTCTCAATGTGCGTCCTTCGCCCACCATGAATGGAATAGAATCTAATAGTACCTACCGGAAATGTATTGGCATTAAATGATTTTCTCAACATTACACGCGTGCACACACACGCACAACCACACCCACAAGCACACA